GCTCTTCCGATCTGTAAAAACTGTGGCGGGCTCATATTTGAGCCTTGTTCAGTGGCAATTACCATGAATTTAGGGACCAGTAGTCATGGAAATGGCGTAATTTTCACTCAAAATCCGCCATGTTCAGTTATTGTGTTCAGTTTGCGGACACTTTGTTGACTGAACGAAGTATAGGAGCAGATCCTCCAGTTATTTTCCAGCTCAGTGGCGTGGAATCTCCGATCGGTAAAAAAATTGAAAAAGCCGTATCAAACTTTATGACAGGGAAGAAAACGGAAGTTTTTTCAGTCTAATTTTAAATTTTTGAAATTCAAACTATACGTATGTTGTTTCCCAGTTTCTACACTATCTTTTAATGTGTTTTTATACGTGTTTACGTTCAATATGGTGTTAATAATGTTCTTTTAAAATTGATATTTTATATTAGGCTAAATCGATAAATGTATTTAAGTTCTTTGTATGTTTGCATGGCGATAAAACATATAATAGTTTTGTTTGTGGAAACACCACGTAAATTTATTACCGCAAAGCTTTCGAGTTTCGATCCGTAAGCCCGGATCTTCATCTGTGCTAAACAAGTCACATATTATTAGCACTGATGAAGATCCGGACTTACGGATCGAAAGCTTTGTAGTAATAAATTTACGTGGTGTTTCAACAAACAAAACTATTAAATGTATTTTAATTAAACAAACTCCTGTCATTCGACTGATTACCACATCTATGTAGTGTTTTATCTTTTTAAACAAGTGAATGTAAAACTAAGGTCCTACATTTATAAATTTTATGAAAAGACCAAAGTTTGGCAAAGATGAAAAGTCAAACTTGCAGTTTTTAAAGATGTTTTGAAAAGTTTTCTTGGAGTGCATGAGTGTGAGCTTGCAAAGTGAGCTTGTAAAGTTGAACAAAATCACGTCAGCAAAAATTTCATCTCTCCACACAAGGTTTGAAGTGCAGTAACTTACTTTTCCTTCGGTGAATTTTTCTGAAATTTTGTTTTCTAAAAGTACTAGTTGTTTAGTTCAATATATTCAATTTTTAAAAAATCTATAAAGCAGTTTTTGTGGAAAAAATTTTGTGTGATATCTCAAAAGTTCAATTTATAACTCCACCTAATTTTTTTATATAATCTCCCACTAGATACTCCCTTTATCCCTACCAAATTTTAGAAACTTTGATCGAAGGAAATTTTAATAAATTAATTTTTAGTGTAAAATTTAATGTCTGACTGCTGTCGCTTGGGCCACATTGTTACCATAGCTAGAGGTGACTTGCTTAGGTCCTGAGATAGTCCGTTAACCCAGCGGGCAAAATGACGTTTATTCAACGTTGAATCAACGTTGGAAATGACCTTCCAGACGTTGGATTGACGTTAAAAAAGGGTTGACTATGCAAATTGGATCGACGTTACTGTTTCCACGTTGAAACAACGTTGAAATTAGGTTGCCAATCTCGTCAACCAAAATTCAACGTTGAATCCACGTTAAAACAACGTTGAGATTGGTTCACAAATCGACGTCGTACATTTAACCATGAATGAACGTTAATTCAACGTTTGTTGGCTGCTGTTGAACCAATGTTTGTAAAACAACGTCAGAGCAACGTAGATATTGGGTTGTCGACGTCGCAACCTTTTTTCTACCAAATTTCAACGTTGAAACAACGTCGTGTGCCCGGTGGCTTCTTTTCATCTTGTCGAAAGGAGGCGTTGTCGTTTCTATTTCGATCACAGGAGCCCCATCCCGGCATCCCGGGTCTTATTGAAGTCATGTATTAGAATTACATATGAAATATATAGCTTAGTGTTGAAGCCTGCGATTTGCGGGCTGTGTGCGGGCTAACGCGCAAGTTGAATTATTTTCTTTATTAGACTAGATTAATTTAGATCGAGGACGCGGACGTTAAAGACGACGTGAAAATGGCGTCAAAATGGCGTGGCATATAATAATAATAATAATAATCTAAATCTGTCTATTGTGTATCCAACGCGCGCGTTAGCCCGCACACAGCCCGCAAATCGCAGGTTTCAACACTGAGCTATATATTTCATACGTAATTCTAATACATAACTTCAATAAGACCCGGGATGTGCTCCCTGTGTTTCGATCTGCTTTTCGCACTGAGGGATCTTATTATATTTTCCCCTCGAATCTCAATGTTTCCCTCGACTTCGTCTCAGGAAACATTGAGATTCGAGCAAACTATTTCCCTCGGGAGCAGACATTAAGTGTTTAATATATCTGTTTTCTTACCCGGTCTTCAAGGCGTGTTTTAAAACTGTAGAATTGTGCTGAAGTATTGCTTCCCAAAGCTGCCTCGTATATACTATTCAAAATTGTGATGTTTAAGGTGACAGATGACACATCTAAACAAATATTGGTTATAAATCAAGAAACAGTTCGTACATGTCCAATAGTAACTATCGCGGTATGCTTTGAAGATTTGGGGTAAATATCAGGATTTGGGGCATCTCACTCGATAGAACTAGAGGTGGATTTGTAGATGGAATTTCGAGTGCAATTTTTACACATTTAAGTCCTGGGCAAACTAGAAAACATTGTTGCGGAAACATTTGTGATTCTCGATGTTTCTTCAAATTTTTCCCTGTTTGCTCACCCGTGGAAACATTGTTGTGGAAACAAAATTTGCTTCCCGGGAAGCAAAAATATTTCCTACCAAATTCAGAAACATTTGATGTTTGAAATTCCCTATGTTTCCCACTCTTGGAAACATAGGGAATTTCAAACATTGGTAGGAAACAATGTTTCCGCAACAATGTTTCCGCAACAATGTTTCCGCAACAATGTTTCCGCAACAATGTTTCCTAGTTTGCCCAGGGCTTTACGCTATTAGACCTAACCAGGAGCAGTTGCGAAAAATGCAGCTATACACCTTCTGGCAGGAATCCAACCTGCGGTCCTGCGATTCTGGTGCAGCGCTCTGACCAGTTTGTTTTCTAAAAGGCATGGCTTCACCAAGGCAGGGCCTCTAGGAATTAATCCACTGCGCACAATTACAATTCTTTTAAGAAATAGCCATAACACCGCGGAAAAACGTCTGCGCATGTGTGGGGCACAAAAAAGATGGCGAGGAATTTAAATGCCAAATTGTAAACAAAAACATGGCTTTTAATTATTTAAGGTAATTGAAACAAACAAAAAATACACTAGACGGTTAGTTTAGACATTAATAAAAAATTTCCCAACATTTAAATTTAAAAAGAAACAGAATTTAAATTAAAATTACCGTTTAAGACCGGGAGGCGTGTAAACATTTCTTGAAAAATTGTCGAACATTTGCACACGATTAAATTGTAGAGTAAATCATTACTCTTAAATATAGTCAACGCAAAAATTATACATGCTACGCAAAAAAAGTTGACAAAAACGTAGATCATATGAACCTACGAAAAATATCTTTCTATACAATAAATTTATCGACAGTCACCTTTGGCTTTGGATTATTTTCTTGCATAATGCTACTTCTTGCACATGTAGGCTATAATTATTTCTAGTTTTTAGGTTGTCACCTTCATTATTCTCTTGCATTTTCATAGAAAAAGCAAAACATCGAAGTCGCTTCCATTTTGAGTTTTTGACAACATTCGGAACACTTGACATCACGTTCGCAATACAGATTTTAGTAATGTTGACGCATGCACAGACGTTTTTCCGCGGTGTTAATAGCCATTAGTACAAATTTTGCATATCAAATGAGCTTTCGCGCGTTCTGATTGGCTAGTTGACTAGTAAATCTAATGACGCATTATTTACTAGCAGACTAGTAAATAATGCTTTTCGGAAAGAATGATTCGGCAAATTTGGTTTCAAAACCGACAAAACTGCCGAAAAAATCGTCCCCAGAAAACGAAAGAAGCACAAAATGTTGTATTTGACTTGAAAGGTAGGATTCCTTTATTATTTTACTGTGTCAAACATATTCATGGTAATTTAAAACTTATTTAATAAAACCGGAGTTTCTGTTTTCAAACAAATAGCAAGAACTGTCCCGACTGTTGGGAAAAACCTTGCTCTTAGGTTTTGGCTGAATAGACATTTCAAGGAACATCTTTTTAATTACTGTCGTTTAATTATTTTAAAATTGTTCCATTATTTTTGCATTAAATGTTTATTTATTCCACTGGTGTTGTTTTTTGCTTCTTGTTTTTTAATATTTAATAAAACAATTATTGGATTCGGTTTTCGCATGGATAACACAAACCTCGTCCTTGATAATTCTCGATATCATGCTCAACCTCATTCAATAATTGTTTAATATATCCAACCATCACAGTCCTTGACTAAGAGAATAACGGCTATTCATTTCTTACCTTGACACGTGCCACTGATCAGAAATTTTCCAGGGCTTGTACAGAAACATTCGTAAGTTCCAGGGTAGTTCCTACAAGCTTGATCAGCACCACAAACATTGACAGATGATGTACATTCATTAGTATCTAGTAACAGAAAGTGGATATTTTTGAAACACCATAAAAAATACCACCCCAAGATGAAAGTAACAACGACAAACTATATATAGAATAATTATCTTTGAAAGGTTTCCTGCGAGATGCACTGACATTTAATCATTTCCCCCTCAGTTAGAAATTCCAGAGGGAACTAGAATTCCGTTTGTCTATAACTTCCTAAGAAAACAGAAGCGTTTATCATCTGGCCCGGACGATCTACCACATTGGTTCTGGAAGACACGCAGCTGAATTAGCTCCAGCTACAACAAAAATATTTAACGTATCTCTGAAAGTTGGAAAAGTTCCTGAAGTATGGAAGAGAGCGAATATAGTTCCAATACAAAAAGAAAATGTTATCAACTCAAGTTCTGAACTGAGACCTATCTCAATAACAGACATCATATCATGGTTATTTGAGAGATGTATATACAAAACTGAGATCGCAGATGTTATATATCACTCAATCGATTCTGACCAATACGCATATAAAGTGGGATATAACTCAACGATGGCTTTAATTAAATGTCAACATACGTGATTGAAAGGTTTGGATAATGGTGTGAAATATGTGAGAGTACCACCATTTGACTTTAGCAAGGCTTTTGACAGTGTTCCACACGACATACTATTTGGAAAAGTTAAGAAATTGCCTTTTAACCCGTACATCATAAATTGGATGATAGATTTCTTAAAAGATCGCAAACAGAGAGTAACAGTTGATG